TGATGACAAACTCTTTTTTTAATTAATTAATTAATTTTAAATTAATTACATTTCATTTTGTGACACAGTTTCATAGGCTCTGGGATTCTCCCAACCCCTCCCCGTACTTTCCCCCCCATGGTGGATTCCTCCACCTTGTTGCAGTATTACAGTTAAATCCAGTCAAGATTCTTTCATTACAAGCATATACCAAGCAAAGAGTCCAGCATCTTATTGTCCATTATACATTCAACAGTTACTTGGGGAGACCATCTCTGGTCTGAAGGCAGAGCTGGCAGAATATCATCCTAACCAATTAAAAGCCACAATATAACATCAACAATTTACAACATTATGGAGTTAATTGACATGGTATCAAGTAACCAATATGTTAGAAAATGCAAGTTCTTAACCATATCCTGTGACTACTTCATTGACAAACTTTCAATTTCTGTTTGTTTGGAAGGTATTTATTTCACCTTCCTTTGTAAATGATCTTTTTGAGGTATTCCAAGGTGACAGTTTTCAATTTTAGGATTTGGACTGTGTCTTTCTATTCTCTCCTATCCTATACAGGTTCTGATGAGAAATCAGCTACCAGTCTAGTTTTTCTCTCATGCACATTTTAGGATCTCTTCTTTATGTTTTTGTTACTAAAAGTTTGAGTATAATACATTGGGAAGATTTTTCCAGCCATGTCCATGAGAAGCTCTGTGTGCTTACTGCGTTTGGATGCCACTTTCTCTAAACTAGGGAAGTTTTCTGCTATTATTACAGTGAGTAGACCATCAAGTCTATTCTCTCTGCACCTTCAGGAACTCCTGAGACACATATGTTTTTGTTGTCACATAATATTGTATAAGTCTTGGACACTATTTTCAGTTTTTCTATTTTCTTCCTTTTTTGTCTGAGATATTTCTAAAAAATTGTGTTCTAGCTTGGTTAGCTTTTTTCTGCCTCATTGTCTGTTTTTAAAGCTTTCCACTGTGTTTTTTTTTAAGCACACTGAATTCTTGATTTTTAGTGTTTCAGAGTGATTTCTCTTTAGTATCTCTATCTCCTGACAAATTTTTAAAAAAGATTTATTTTTATTGGAAAGGTAGATATACAGCAAGGAGGAGAGACAGAGAGGAAGATCTTCCATCTGATGGTTCACTCCCCAAGCAGCTGCAACGGCTGGAGCCTCGCCAATCCGAAACCCGTAGCCAGGCTTCTGGGTCTCCGACGCTGTTACAGAGTCCCAAGGCTTTAGGCTGTTCTAGATTGCTTTCCCAGGCCACAAGCAGGGAGCTGGATGGGAAGCGGCGCCTCTGGGATTAGAACCAGTGCCCCTATGGGATCCCAGCACATTTAAGTCAAGGACTTTAACTGCTATGCTATCATACTGGGCCCTGACAAAATTTTTAATCCATATCATATATGGATTTCCTTAACTCAAAAGTTTGCTTCTCATTGGTTTTAAATAAACTTATCATTCTTTTGAATTCATTTCAACCATTTCATTAGTCTGTTTGTCTTCACATTCCAATATTGAGATGCTATTGTATTCTTTATAGGGAGTCATATTGCCTTCCCAGAGCCTGCTGCCTTTCAGGGTTTGTGTTGACAGTTTGAATATTATAGCCTGTGATAGAGTTGAGTTCAGTGCCCTTTAGGCTTAGCTGAGAGCTCTGTCCCTTGCCAAATTACAAACCATATGCAGACTCAGCAAGAATCATAGATTTATCCCTCAGATGAATTCCCCTAATAATACATGCACCATCAGCAGCAGCCTTAACTAAGCTTATCAAGATGATGCCTTGGACCTGGCATGAAGGCTCAGTGGTTAAATCCTTGCCTTGCAACCACGGAGCTCCAGTGTGGGTGATGGTTTGTGTTTCAGCTGCTTCGCTTTCCATCCAGCTCTCTGCTTGTGACCTGGGAAAACAGTAGAGGATGGAGCAAAGCCTTGGGTCGTTGCTCCTATGTGTGGGAGACCTAGAATAAGCTCCTGGTTCCTGGCTTTAGATTGGCTCAGCTCTAGCCAGCCACTTTGGGAGTGTGAACCAGGGGACAGAAGAGCTTTCTGTCTCTCCTCCCTGTAAATCTGTCTTTCCAATAAAAATAAATGAATGAATGAATGAATGAATGAATGAATGATAGTGCTTTCTCCCAAGTAGTTATGTGGAGACCTTGAGATGGGTGCGAGTAATTAGAAATGGCAATGTTTTACACCCTGCCCCCTGCTCACACTACAAGTAAGATCAAAGTGTCAACACCAAGGTTCTCCTTCATACAGTATTGGCAGTGACATGGCTTTATATTGTACTTCTTCAAGAGGAGAGATACGGAATGCAGTGTTTTCATGAAATACCTGTTGTTACAAGAACTCTTGATTTCCATAAAACATGCCCCTAGGTAATGTTGACATCTGTGTCCACATCAATATTTTGTAGTTTTATACATTTAGACAAGCATTTTTTTCAATTTGTGAGGTTAATTAGATTCTGTGTTAACTCTAAATGTTTTGTGATTCTTAATGCAGTTGGATATACTGTATTATATTTAAGGTCCTGCCTCCTAGCTTTAGCAATATTTGTTCTGATGATTTAAAGGAAAAGTAGAAACATAGTAGACATTCAAGTTCCTTAAAATTCTTACAACACTTAATTAGTTGCCTCATTCATGTCAACTGAATTGCTTTTCTCCAAAGTCTCTTTAGTATTGACCTATTTGATCAATTAGCGAGAGAAGGCTAAGTTATGATAGAGTTTCAAAGATCAGCATTGTGGTGTAACAAGTTAAGCCATCTGTATATCTTAAGGACATAGTTTCTTTTTTAAAAAATATTTATTTTTATTGGAAAGGCAGATTTACAAAGAGGAGAAACAGAGGGAAAGATCCTCCATCTGCTAATTTACTTCCCAAGCGGCTGCAGTGGCTGGAGCTGAGCCAATTTGAAGCCAGGAGCCTTTCCTGGGTCTCCCACAGGGGTACAGGGTCCCAAGGCCTTGGGCTATCCTCGACTGCTTTCCCGGGCTACAAGCAGAGAGCTGAATGGGAAGAGGGGCCACCAGGATTAGAACTCGTGCCAGTATGGGATCCTGGTACGTGCTATGTGAGTACTTTAGCTGCTAGGTTACTGCGCCAGGTCTAAGGGCATGCTTTCATGTTCCAGCTGCTGCTCCACTTCAGTCTAGCTCTGCTGTCCTTGAAACAGCAGTGGAAGATGGGCTGAAGTGATTAGGGCTCTGCCACTCATGTGGGAGACTTAGATAAAGTTCCTTGGCCAGCTCTGGCTGTTTTGGCTTTCTGGGGAAGAAAACAGTAATGGATGATCTCACTCTGCCTGTCCCTCTCTCCCTCTAACTTTCAAAATAAATCAGTAAATATTTTGAGATATAGATGTAGAATTCTAGAAAGACTTCAAATTGAATGATAATTTGTCTTTGAGTCACTGTGTGTGTGTTGATGTATTTTTTCTTAGTTTGGTTAAGTTTCTAAACTCTCTAAACCTCAATTTTTCCCTGATATACAGAAAATATCTTGCAACCTTCAAAAGAAATATTTTCTTATCTTGAACTGTAAGTGCATGGAATAGCTCTTAGGAAATGACATAGTGTTTTAATAGAGAAAATAGCATGTTTATAGATAATTTCGCTATTACCAAATAATTTGTGTGCAAAATACTGGATGTGATTTTCAGGGTAATCATATAAGGAAAGCACTATTATCTTTTCCATTTTGGAGATAAGGAAATTGTAACTTAACAAAATTAATTTACATAAAGTACCACAACTGGCAATTAAGCTAATACTTAAATGTACAGTCTCTTGGTCTCTAAAACCTATATCTCTCTCTAGACTTTACCTTATCAAACTGTAGTGGATTTACTAGATTTAGGCAAACTAACATGGAAATGGTGAATGTAAAATTCAAAAAAACTGAAAAAGTTAGACATAAATAATTCAATAATATTTTAGGATAAGCTATATTAAGCTGCACAAGAAGATAAAATGACAAACTAACCAACAAGAAAATGTCAATAGTTTATCCCAACGAGTTTATGTTTCACTTGCACAAGTATGTCCAGTGTGATTCTTCAGAAAGTACTTTGCTCGGTCCTAGGCATTTAAGGAACCGATATTAATAAAGCTTTCATTTCAGAGGTTTCATCTCAGCATATGCTTCCATGAGTACCACAAAAGCAGGAAGGAAGGTTACCTGTTTATTCTAAATGCCATGAATATAACAAATATGGAAGGTAGACCAACAACTACAACAAAAAGGTTTTTAACTACGCAAGATCAAAAGAAAACCAGTAGTATATTAAGTACTTAATACCTATCAAACTGGTAGATAATATGCAATATGAATTGTTAATCAGATTAATAGGTCACTGTGTACATTTCAAATAATTATGGCAAAACTCAATCAATACTGCTACTTAGAATAGTTGTATCTGTCACTGCTATTTCAGCGTAAGCAAAAATACTCTGTTGTAAGTAATTTAAAAACTTAGTAAAGCTTATTTGTGAATGCCAGGTATTTTCTGTTTATTTATTCACTGGTAACCTAATTGCTACACTATCTGTATTAATACTAGACAGATAGCAATCATACCTTTAATTTGTTTATTTTCATAATGCCTTACCCATAAATGGAGATATAAGATGTGAATTTTCTCTTTTTTAACCAGGCTAAGTGAACTTATTTTAAATTTTAGCTGTCATGATTTCCTGTTCTTAACTAAAAGCTCACCAGTTAATACACACGATGATAGAAAAGAAGTAAATTGAAATCTTTTACACAGCACACTTTAGCAGTAACTCATACATCCTTTTCATTTAATAGCCATTTAATTCATTTTTAATTTAAAAGTATCTTGTCAAACATATACTCTATGTTGAGCATTAAAATAAGAATTACCTGCATGCTTTGCTCATATATCTGTTTCTGTTGTGAGTCTTAAAATAGTTTAATTTGGTGAGATTTTAAATTTTAATTTTTTAAACCTCATTACATTTTCCATTTGTTTATAGGAGCGGGTAGAAAATTATCCCTCTGTGATTCTCCAGTGGAAGAGTCCGAAAAACCGTACGTGTGAGGCTTGTGGGCTGTATCGCTGCTGTAGATGCTTAGTGCATTTATCAGGAAAATTGTATAACAGCAGGAATATGAAAATAGATGAATTCATGTCCCATGACAAGCAGGTATTTGTTTCTTCTAATTTTAGTTTTAAGTATTTACAAGCTTCAGTTTATGGACTTGCACAAATAACACTCATTTTAACAAACAGAATAAAACCCGAGGAGAAAGAGTACAAGGAAAAGAGGATACAGTGTTTGGATGTAGAAAATATGTCTTTACAGCATATGTATTTATAATTGAAACCAATTGGCACGTTTCTGTAAGTGCCTATCCCCCAAAGACAGAGGTTACAGCCTGAAGATGATGTAGATCACTGGGGCAAGTGAAGCTAACTGTTACCTGTGAGTCCAAACAAGAATTTAGTCCAAGTGAAAAGATTTGTGGCAGGTAATCCACAAGTAAATCATTGAAGATGACTCTTGGTCCTAGTATGAGAGACTTCAAAGAACATGGTGCTTCCGACAGACTGTAGTCAGAAATGTGCTGAATTCTGGAGCTATCACCAGATGCTCAAGGTGCTGTTAATATTGAATGAATAGATACAACTAAAGATTAAGTAGTGCAGGGTCTCCCCCACAGATTTCTTTAGTACCCCATTGCCTGAGGGGATGAGCCTGCCTGCCACCCAGCCTCCTGGCCCATGAGAGACAGACAGACAGGGGTTCTGTCTAAACAGCAGTTCCAATTTATTGGGGAAATTCAGATTTTTATATAGGGTAAGAAATAGCCTCAGGCCAGGAATTTCAGGAATTCTAGGAGGGGAGAAACTAGGAGCCAATTACTAGGAGCATGACTGCGGAAGCCACCTCCCATAGGCCAGGGTAGGTGAGTGAAATGGCCCTGGTCAATCATTATTTCCTTGAAGTTACGTGACTCCTGCCCTGGTTCACGCCAAGGGCTCTGTCCTTGGCCACCATCTTGCCCGCCAGTGACCTGGACTGTTAGTCGCCATCTTATTAACTTAGTGATCTCTTTGCCCCTGAGCCCCACACGCCTGCACAATGGCTCAACAAACTAAATCCTCCATCCAATGGTGCCAGCATCACATGGGGCACTGGTTCATGTCCTGGCTATTCCACTTCTATTAGGCTCTCTACTTGTAACCTGGGAAAGCAGCAGAGGATCACTTGGGACTCTGCACCCACATGAGACACCAGGATGAGTCTCCTGGCTCCTGGCTTCAGATAGGTTGAGCTCTATCATGGTGACCATTTGGGGAGTGAAGCAGAGGATGGAAGACCTTCTTTTGATTTCTCATTCTGTCTGTAAATCTGCCTTTTGAATAAAAATAAATATTTTTAAAAATAATTTATGTATAATAACTATCTGTATTTATGGAGTGGCATATGACATTTCAGTAATAAGTAAAGTATGCAGTGATCTGATAAGGGTAATTGATGTATGATTCAGCCTCGGAGGTTAACATTTGTGCTGGGAACATTCAAAAGCCCATATACTAGCTATTTCAACCATTTAGCCATTACCAATGATGCTTACCCAACTGTGCTGTAAACCTTTGTAGTTAACATTTCCAACTGTAGTTGTTTCCATTTCTGTAGTTGTTAATCATCCTCTGATTGTCTCCCCATCTTCCTGTTCTTCCCAGACTGTGGTGAGCAGAATCCTGTTTTCATACAAGATAAACTTCTTAGCCTCCATGTATAAATGAGAATATGTAGTATCCATATTTCTGTATCTGACTTATTTCACTTAACATGTACTGTCCTCCCGTCTCACCTGTGTTGCCACAAATGATAGCTCTGAGAAGAATGTTGTTGGGATTTTGATTTTGATATCATCGAATCTGTATATTACTGTATAAACCTTTGTACAATCTAGGAACATGGGAAATTTCTCCATATTTCAATGTCTCCTCCTATTTTTTTTAAATGTTTTGTAATTTTCATCTTAGAGGTCTTTCATGCATTTGGTTAGGTTTATTCCAAGGTATTTAAGATTCTTCTCCACTATTTTGAAAGCTACTGTTCTTACAAGTTCTTTCTTGTTATTTGTGTATACTAAGGCCATCAATTTATGTTCATTGATTTTTTTTACCTATTACCTTGCTAAACTCTCTTATGAATTCCACTGGTTTCTTTATTGAGTGTTTTGGTTGTCTGTGTCCTTTTTTCAACTTAAAAAAACAAAATAGAGCGAAATCCCTCTTATTTTATGGAATGACAGAGCACAATGTGATATGAAATACAAATTACATTATTCCTTAACCATATGATACCATATGAACCAAAGAGTTCATGAAAAAATTAAGAAATATTTATATTAGTATAAAATTTGTTTGAAGTTTATGTGTGTGTTTTTTTACAACATGTATTTTCCAAGAGCTTTTTGAAGTCATTCCTGTATTTTATTCACAAAGGCTATAGGAGGCTTCTCTGCCATCTACCATCTAGTTCAGTGGCAGGAATGGAGACACACAGGATAGTGCTTAGTTACAACTGCAACTTTTTAGCCACTTTTTAGCCAAAATGGGAGGTTTGTTGTTAAATGTCATTTACTAGCAGGACTGGTTTGATGATATTGTCAAATTGTAAAAGCAATTTTTAACAACCAAATGCTGTATGATATAACTAGATTATTTCCAACGCAGAAATGTGTTCACAGCAGCATGAATGGAATCCTTAGCATATTTTTTTCAGCTTCTGTAGATTTCAGAATGTTTAAATATCATTTTATAAGAAAATACACCAAGCTCAATACTAATCATCATGACATAAATTCAATGTATAAACATTTAAAGGAAAATTAACAGTTTTTGTATATCATTAAAGAAAATCTGAATGCCACAAAGATGTTATATATATATTCTTTAGTGTGTTAATTCACTTTACATATAAAATAATAATGCTTATTTCTTAATATAGGTGTTTACTGTGGGCATAATTTGTGCCAATCGTACCAGAATTTATCATCAGCTGAAACATTTCAAGTTCACACTGTACCAGGAGTGTTGCTCCATTGTAGATACTGAATATTTTGAGGATGAACAGGTGACAGAAACAGTGGAAAGAATTTTCAGTCAATTGGAAGAAAGTGGCTGGATTAACAATGTAAGTTGAATGGATAAGAACCAACTTCTGTATTTCCAGCAGCTTGATATTATTATTAACCAAAGGATACAACTGATCAAAAGACATTGGCATTTAACAGAGAATCTCTTCTGTATTTTTTGTTCTCCTTTTGTGTTTCTATTTTGTCTTCTTTGAATTTTCTCTTCTTCCATATTTTCCTTTGATGCTTTTTCATGGCTTTACCCTGATGTTCCAAGGACTCATCTGGCTAACCTGATATCTTATAAACAGCTGTACTGTCTATTGAGAAAGAACCTCTGTCCATTTACTTTCACGTACGTCTTCCTTACATATATTTTAAGTTCCTCTATTTTCTTCCACAGAGTATAGGAACTTGCCTCTGCTATCTGCTTCCTATCATTTAGAACAGTCATTATGATCTGTATATAAAGAAACACTTGATGCCAGTCTGAGGAAAGGATCCTGACTGCCAGTATAATTCCACCCACATCTTCATGAATACATGGGACTGAGCAATGAGCACTGCAACTGAAAATCAAAGGGAATCCATCATCCAAGCCACTGTACTGATTTCGATTCCCCTATATCTCTTAGTCATTAAATTTGATATGAGGGATAAAATAGTGATTTCAAGAATATATTGGATTCTCAAAGATCTGCTGGCAGTTCATTAGCTCTGGTCTGCTCGCATTACTTTGTGGTACATCGAAAGAATGCTGATATGATTGCAGTCTTCTAAAATATGTCTAATTATATAAATGGATGAGACAACAAATAGTGGCTTTTAGCAGCCCAAATCAATAGCATATTTAATCATAATAGAAAAGAAAAGCCCAAGATCTATTCCCTGGGTTGCATCACAGGCACATTTGTAAGAGTGGAAATTAAAAAGGAGGCAGGAAGTCTTAAGACATAAACTTATGTATAAAGGAAATACAAAGAGAACAAGAACTTCTCCGCATATGCCATGCTCAACGTAGATCTCTCAGGATGGAGAATGGCATCACAGTTGCTTTCCCTTTGGACAATTATCCTCCCACCATAAACCAACACTCCGTGATCTTAAGGCTTAAATGTTCTTTCTCTCATTTTACTTTCTTTAGTTTATTACATTTTACTTTTTTCTATTTCTTTTCCAAATGCTTCTTCCCCTTACTGCCATCCTTCTCTGTACTTTCCATTTGCCTTAGAAATAATTGTAATGTTTATGAGTCTTTGCTTATACAGCAACCCATTTTCATTTTCCTAGACAACATTCAATTCTTAACTGCTTTTATTGATACCATTAAATGTTGCTAACCAGTAGAATTGGAAAACCCATTAGCATACTACATTTATAAAGAATTGCTTACAATATATAGAAAGATCATGAAAGATCACTGCACATATATTACATATATAATAATATACATATTACATAATATTACATATATGTAATAATAATATTATGTTGGGGAACAACATGAAACTTCTTGTAGAAAAAAATTTTAAAAAACATTTCCAAGTCATGTACTTTAGAGAAAATTCAGCAAGATTTGGGACAGCAGAAGTTACCTGGAGTGAGAAAAATGATTTTAGGGCAATAAAAGCCGAGTCCCATATGTGTAAAGAATAACACTTGGGGCTGTTGGCTTGGTATGGTTGATTAAGATGTACTTTGTAAGAAATTTCACAGAGCTGTTCAAGATGGGCTGCCCCATCTTCTTTTTTTTTTTTTCTGCCTGAATTAGGAGAGCAGCAGAGGATGGCGCAGGTACTAAGTTCCAGGCTCCTAACCACTTTGACCCAGATCTAGCAAATGTAATTTGGGGAGGGAACTAACATGTGCTCCCTTGCTCTCTCTCTCTCTCTCTCTCTCTCTCTCTCTCTCTTTCTCTCTCTCCTTCCCTTCTCCCTGTCCCCCTTCCCTCTTCTCTCAACCCTTCTCCCTCTTTCTTCTCTCTTGCCTTTCAAATATGAAGTCACTGAAAAAAATAACATTTAGCATTAGGTACTGGGTCAATGTCATGAATGTTTAAGATAGTGTCTACATTTTCAACATAAAAATATCAAAGAGCTTTATTTTCTTTATAATATATTCTCACATTAAAAAATTCTTGTCCATAAAGTTTCTTGAACAATTTCCCAGAATCTATGAAGTTTACAGCAGTATCAACCCATATGTAGCTTTTTGGGCGATGATGAAATTTCGAAGTCTATCAGATGCCTTGACGTTTCTGTCTCTCTGTGCCTTTTTGTGAGATGCTGGCACCTGTGCTGTGATGCATACTTCTCTTGCCTGCAGTCTCTTGGTCACAGTTGCTCTATTAGAGTGCCTTCAGGGCTACCTGAATGCTCATTCTGTACGTCCCAATTATTGCAAGCCCTCCTTTTGCCCCACACAATTGGTTCCTGACTTTCTGATCCCCGCTTGTCTCACATCTTGCTTTGCCCCTTTCTGCCCTTTATCCTTCAAATGTTTTTCTTCTATTATCTGGATAGATTGCCTCTGAGTATCTGCCCAAAAAACTACATACTCTAGTGATTTCATACTTCTTGTTCCTTCTGACCATGGAATTTCAAAGATCATTTTAAAATCTAATATTGAACATGTGTAGAAAGAAGTCTAGTATACGACAAAGAATAGGAAAAATGATAAAAATCAGTATACAATAAATAAAACAAAATATTTTCCATTCTAAAATAAGCCAATGAACATACTCTAATATGTTTTTGCCAGTTTATTATGATTTTTTTTTCATTGACAAGGAATTGTATGGTGTTGTGGTGCAATAGAGTAAGCCATCACTTGGAACATCTGCTTCCCACCTAATGCTGAGTCCCTTATCTGCCTTCAATTCAGCTTCCTGCTAATATGCACCACAGGATTATGGTCCAAGGACTTGAGTACCTGTGTCCTATGTGTAAGACACTTACAGAGTTTCTCGCTCTTGGCTTTAGCCTAGCTCAGCCCAAGTTGCTGTAGGCATTTAGGGGTGAGCCAATGGAGAGGGCGGATGCTTCTCCCCACCTTCTCTGTTACAATGTTTCCCAAACAAGTAAAAATAAATGAACTTTTCAGAAAAGAATATATATGGGGCCCAGCATGGTGGCGCAATGGTTAAGGTCCTCGCCTTGCACGCCCAGGATCCCATATGGGCGCCGGTTCTAATCCCGGCAGCCCCGCTTCCCTTCCAGCTCCCTGCCTGTGGCCTGGGAAAGCAGTCAGTCGAGGACGGCCCAAAGCTTTGGGACCCTGCACCCGCGTGGGAGACCCGGAAGAGGCTCCTGGCTTCGGATTGGCATAGCATCGGCTGTTGCACTCACTTGGGGAGTGAATCATCGGACGGAAGATCTTCCTCTCTGTCTCTCCTCTCTGTATATCTGCCTTTCCAATGAAAAAATAATAAAAATAAATCTTTAAAATAAAAAAAAGAAAAGAATATATATGGTGATGGGGTTTCTGAGGCCCTTGTAGATAGATTGTTAAGATGCGAAGGTGGACACATAAATGACAGGAAAGTAAATATATCAACACAAGTATTAAATGTAAGGTATACAATTATATTTAAAGTAATTTTTAAAGACTTATGTATTTTTTAATTGGAAAGGCAGATCTAAAGAAAGAAGGAGAGACAGAAAGACCTGTCCACTGATTCCCCAAGTGGCCACAACAGCCGGAGCTGAGCCAATCAGATGCCAGGGACCAAAAGCTCCTTCTGGGTCTCTCACATGGGTGCAGGGTCCCAAGGCTTGGGACTGTCCTCCACTACTTTCCTAAGCCACAGACAGGGAACTGGAAGGAAAGTAGAGCCGCCAGGACATCAACTGACACCTATAGGGGATGCTAGTAGTTGCAAGGCAAGGATTTAGCCATTAAGCCATTGAGCTGAGCCCAGTAAATTTTAAATGTATTAAAAATATTATTGCATCAATGAGAGATTCTTTTTAAATATTTATTTTTATGTGGAAAACAGATTTTAGAAAGTCTTCCATCCATTGGTTCACCTCCCAAACATCTGTAATGGCCAGAGCTGAGCTGACCCAAACCTGGAAGCCAGGAGCTTCTTCCAGGTCTCCTACATGGGTGTAGGGACCCAAGGCCTTGGTCCATTCACCATTACTTTCCCAGGCAAGAAGCACAGACCTGGATCAGAAATAGAACAGCTGGGACTAGAAGCAGTTCTCCTGTAGGATGCCACCACAGGTCAGACGATTACCCTGATGCACCACCATGCTGACCTCAAGAATTTAAAATTCTAGTTGCATATACCTGCCCTTCCTTAAACTCTTCTGTTTTTTCCTCTCTTTTTTCCCTGTACATTAAAAAAACTGTTTCCCTTTGTATTTATTCTCATCACTTAAACTGATACTTTTAAAATATAGCCCTAAAAATACCTTTGTTAGAATCACCCAGCCATTGATGAAAACTATGTAGTATCCAGTCTTTCTCCAACCCTAGCCTTGAGAATATCAAGCACCAGCTCTTTTAAAGCTTTTGTTTTTATTTTTACTTTTATTTGAAAGACATTTAATAGAGAAGGAGAGACAGAGAAGCTTTCCCTTGGTCTCCCACATGATTGCAGGGTTCCAAGGACTTGGGCCATCCTTCTCTGCCTTCCCAGGCCCTAAGCAGAGAGCAGGATTTGAAGTGGAGCAGCTGAGACACAATGTCCAAATGGGACACCGGCTCTGCAAGCAGAGAATAAGCAGTCCCTGCATCAGCTCTTTGAAAAAGTTGAGTGAATCTTAGGTAAATTGAAAAGTAAGATCTGCTGCTGACATCATGAGTAGTGGGTAAAGCTACAACCTGCAACACGGGCTTCCTATAGCATGCCAATTTGTATTACATATACTCCACTTCCAATCCGGGTCCTTGCTAGTGACCCAGGAAAAGCAGTGGAAGATGATCCAGGTGCTTGCACCCCTGCTGCCCCTTGTGGGAGACTGAAAGAAGCTCCAGGCCTCTGACCTCTGGCTTCTGGATTCAGCCTGACCCAGCCTTGGCAGTTGTTGCAATCTGGAATATGAACCAGACTACAGAAGATCTCAAAATCTCTCTCCCTCCCTCCCTCTCTCTTTCTCTCTCTCTCATCATGCTTCCCTGCTTCCCTCCCTCTTACTTTGCAACATTCTCAAACAAATAAATAAGTCTTAAAAAAAATAAAGACCAGCATTTAAAAATTGTTGTATTAGATTCTGTCATCAGCCTCATGGAGTTTTCTTGATGAATCCATTCCATTCCATGGGTTTAGCTGCTCCTTTCCCACCACTTCTTCGGGAAGGCAGATCTAGAGAGAGATGGAGAGACAGAAAGATCTGCCATCCGCTGGTTTACCACCCAAGTGGCCGGAGCTAAGCTAATCCAAAACCAGGGACCAGGAGCTTCTTCCAGGTCTCCCATGCAGGTGCAGGGTCCCAGAGCTTTGGGCCATCCTCTACTGCCTTCCCAGGCCACAGGCAGGGAGCTGGATGGGAAGTGGAACATCTGGAACATGAACCGGTGCCCATACGGGATCCTGGTGGCACATGCCGAGTGAGGATTTAGTTACTAGCCTACCATGCCAAGCCTACTGCTACTTCCCAGTATAAGATTTCAAGCTCCTTCCATCTTCTGGTCATTTTCCCACCTCCAGTCCCATATTTCCTGCTGTTTTCAAGAGGCCATCCATCGGACACAAGAAAATAATTTTGTTATAGTAAGGCCCAGTGTCTGCAAAGGCTTGAACCATGGGAGCAGAAATCTTGAGGTAGAAAGCATGGCAGAGTGACGTAGTAGCATTCTTGATGAATTTAACTTTCCTGGTCAAGGTGGGGCTTTAGTCTTGCCCAAACTGTACCCTACCCAGACTCTTGATGGTCAAAAGTATCAGTTTAAACATTTGTTCTTGTCACTTATTATCAGAACAATTATTGGAACAAGCTGTATTAAGTTGTTCAGCCTTAGTCTGTAAAATAGGAGCTGAAATGTAAAAGGAATGACAATTAGAAAATAAAATTACTGAATCGGGAAAAAATGGGCCTAGCACAGTAGCCAAGTGGCTAAATTCCTCACTTTGCATGTGCCAGGATCCCACATGGGCACTAGTTCTAATCCTGGCATCCCCATTTCCCTTTAGCTCCCTCATGTGGCCTGGGAAAGCAGTTGAGGACTGCTTGGGACCCTGCACCCTCGTGGGAAACCTGGAAGAGTTACTGGCTCCTGGCTTCATGTCAGTGCAGCTCCGGCCATTGTGGCCACCTGGGGAGTGAATCATCATATGGAAGATCTTCCTGTCTGTCTTTCCTCCTCTCTGTATATCTGACTTTCTAATCAAAACAATAAATCTTAAAAAAAATGATGATCAGTATTTTGATTGTAAAAATTAACACCACATTTTAACCATTTATTATGAGACCTGGAGATTAGAAAATGAACAACTAGTGTTAACCATTATTTGCAGCAAAAGCTAGAAGAAGGCATCCTTTCATAGCTTAGTATTAATGATAAAGTAGACTAATAAAAGAAAATCATATGGGAGACATTAAAACCGGCCAAAAGTGAATCTCAAATCCTAGAGTACTTTACTTTTACCCAATGCCTAGCTGAGTTCCAGGCCACAAAAACCCTTGTGTTCTATTTTTTCTCTTTCCTGAGGTGGTGCTCAAGCAGATCTTGGGGGCAGCAGAAAGGGTTTCCGGGCCTTGCCTCAAGAGGAAACTCCAGTCCCCACATTCCCTTCTGCACAGCTTTACCACCACAAAGTCAGGGTCTTCCCGATCCCCATCTCAGTGAGGACAGAACAGGAGTTCATAGGCAGTCAGCAAACCATTGTATCACTTAATTTCCTTTACTGAAGCAAGCTCTTAGAACTCTGTGCGTCCCAAACCAAACCCACATTCTCTCTGCTCCCTCAGTGCGCCTCTGACATAGGACTGCTATGGTGTAGTTTCTCAGCCTGGAAATCTCTGTCCCATCCTTGATTCTGCTCTCAGTTTGTCCTAGCGTTAGTTACACTCCACCTTCACTGTTACTCACACCTGGGTGCCAGTTGCTGAACTATTCTACAATGGATAAAATGCTACCAGTCTTGTTCAAGTATACTTCAAAGCAAATCAGTCTCATATTTTAAAATGTTTAGCAGTTTATTAAACCAGTCTACCAGATTATTATTATGCTAGTTTTAGTTTAACCTAATATTTCATACATTTTATTCTCTGGCAACCTTTCCTCTCTCTATTCCTCTATAAAAACCTCATATTGTTGACAAGTCCCATACATTGTTGTCAGGATGGACTGTGGTTTTTTTCCAGAAAACTCTCACCACTAATTCTTTGCCTGCCATAGCTTCTTCTCAGGACAGCTTAACAACCACACTTTCCCTAACTAACCCTAACCTGTCTCCTGAACCGTCATAACAATACCTGTACTGTTTTGCTGGTTAGTAAACTCTATTCTCTTTAGAGACAAGAAAAGCATATTTATTTTTATTCTGTAAATAGCAAAGCATTTAATAGACAAGTTCTTTGTCAGCAGAATATGTTTGACAAATTTTTCTCGAATAGTTTTATTGAAATTACTACATTTTTACTGTAAATGTGATGACAGAAAATTGTAATTTATAGAAAAGTTATGCAAATGGTGTAATAATACTCAGTGTAACCTCTTTTCCAGTGCTTTCTGTGAACTAGACATGCTTAGAAGTTGTTCCTAATTATAATAGATGTGTTCTCCACATTACTGTGAAACGGTTTTGTTGATGTTCATATCTGTAGTTTCGAAGGACCAACCTTAACTAGCTTTTCTGTTGTATGTGCAGAAATATAAACAACTCGAAGAATATCTCAGTTCTGCTGAAAATTTTCAAGAGGAGAAGTTTGACTAATAACACATTTCCTTCAGAGAAGATTTTATAAATGGCTGTAAATGTGAAGATCATGAATCTTGTTTCTCTGTATCATGTGCCACTTATATATTTTATATGTATCTTCATGAAAAAACATCTTGTATCATGAAACTTCTCAGTCTAATAATGCTTTTATCTGATATAAATAGAAAATATAGACTTAATAACTTCAAGTCCCTAAATATATTTTAAGTCTATAAAATAATGTCTTTATAACCTATTATTATCAAATGAATGATCTCCTGTTCTTTCAGTTTAGTTAGTCTGCATTTTAAGAATATATTTGGTATATGTGAATCCATGCTGACCATTTCCTGTCTGGTTCTAAGCGTTCCTTGTTGTTCTCTGTCTGTCTATTTTAATTTTGTTTGTTTGGTTTTTTTTGGGCAGGGGGGCTCCAGAGCTACCCTGATGGTCATTGCAAGAGAGGATGGGGATCCAAAGTTGGAAATAAGTAAGGACCAGAGAAAGCTCCTCTCCCTAGTCCTAAAGGAAGTTTACTGTTCTGTTTCTGCAGACGACTTAGGGCTCCTGGCTGTTGTTCTGATGACCTTGGATCCTGCAAGGAAGGATTTGGACTTCTTCCATCCCATGTGGTAGATCCCAACAGGGCTGGGTTCTCGGCCCTCAGAATTCTTGGCCCCAAAGGCACTCCAATTCCCAGTGGTCTCTTTGCTAGGTAGGACACAGAGATTAGTTACTACTCACTGGAGAATGGAAGATTTCTCTGTGCACTCCTCTTAAAACAGTTTTGCACCTCAACTGTTGACATATGCCTTGCTAGAGTTATTAGCCAGTTTAGACTGTCCTAAAATCTGCCAAGTTCAGCAGAATTATGCTTCAATGCTTTAGACTGCTAAATACTCAAATGAGAATAGACACGAGACAGGTGAATAGTACCCTATGACCATTTTAAGGTGTATAGAAGCTGGTTGTGTATAAATTAAAATCGAAATGTCAATAAAATAGTCACAGGATATGGTTAAGAACTTGCATTTTGTAATATATTGGTTACTCAATACCATGACAATTAATTCCATAATGTTGTAAATTGTTGTTGATGTTATGTTGGGGCTTTTAATTGATCGGGATGATATTCTGCCAGCTCTGCCTTCAGACCAGAGATGGTCTCCCCAAGAAACCGTTGAATGTATCTGGACAATTAGATGCTGGACTCTTTGCCTGGTATATGCTTGCAGTGAAAGAATCTTGACTGAATTTGATATGTTCTACTGCACCAATGTGGAGGTATCCACCATGGGGAAGGGTATGGGGAAGAGTTGGGGGAATCCCAGAGCCTATAAAACTGTGTCACATAATGCAATGTAATTAATAAATTTTTTTTTAAAAAGAACATATTTGGTGGTTAAATCCTTGCTTTGCAAACTCCAGGATTCCATATGGGCATCCATTTGTGTCCCAGCTACTCCACTTCCCATCCAGCTCCCTTCCTGTGGCCTGGGAAAGCAGTAGAAGACAGCCCAATGCCGTGGGACCCCACACCTGCATGGGAGAACTGGAAGAAGCTCCTGCTCCTGGCTTTGAATCAGATAGGCTCAGCTCCGGCCATTGAAGTCACTTGGGGAGTGTATCATCAGATGGAAGATCTTTCTCTCTGTTTCTCCTCCTCTCTGGATATCTGAGTTTCAGTAAATATATAAATATATATATATATATGTATATATATATATTTGGACTCACATTTATATTCATTGCTAGAGCAATTGTTCATGTGTGCTTATTTTCTTTTTGCAGTATTCAGCTATCTTCTCTATTAGATTACTATTATTTAAATGAATGGGCCATGAGAGAAATTGCATTTTATCATTCAGTTTAATCCCCTTGCCTTAGCATCAGACTATATCTTACCAGTTCCAAGCAAAGGACTTTTTTTTTCTTCTTTTTTCCCCTTCTTTTTCTAATGTTTCCCTGACAAATATCTTTTAGGTCTCCAGAGTCTCTCAGCACTTACATTTCATAATAATTTCATGATATGTGTCTTCAGCTTTATGAAGCTTTTTTTTCCCTAATTAATGGATGTGTGTATAAATTTAAAATATTTGATATTTTTTTATTCATTACTTTTCTCATGTAAGTTTATCCATTTATTAGAATCAAAAAATACCAGCCACTAAAACCATTTTACAAACATAATTTGGTATCTGCATTGCTTTACACCTGTGAATTTTCATATTACATAATAAAGCAAAACAGTTGCAAAGTGGCTAAATAAACAAACCCTGTATTTTCAATATCTTCTAAAAAGTAGTATTCCAGCAGATTCTGGTATTCCATGAAGCTGTAAATACTTACTTCTTATGAAATTCTTGGATTAACTTGGTTTCATTTATTGTATGATTTATGGCATAAGCTTGTGTGTGTGTGTGTGTGTATTATGTAAGAAGCCAGATCTAATGGTTTATTACAGAGATTAATATTTGTTCCTATTCACTTCCTAAAATTATTTGTATTATAAGCAAAGCAGATAGAAAACACAGAGTAGCAAAAATGCTGATGGTAATGTTTAATGAGGAATGTGTGCCTTTTTCAGAAGTAAAACAAGAGAGGTAGATGTAGTGTCACTGCAGACTAAACCACTGTTTTTGGAAACCCACGTCGTATATCTGAGAGCCTGGTTCCAGTCCCAGCTACTACTTTCTGATCAAGTTTCCTGCTAATGTGCCCAGAAGGCCCAAGTATTTAGATTCCTACCACCTACAGGGGAGACAGGGATGAAGTGTCTAGTTCTAATCCTGGCCTAGCCTTACTGGTATGGGCATTGGGGAGTTAAACAGCAGATAAAAGACTCTCTCCTCTTGCTCCTACTCTACTTCCTGTCATTCCTCTATGTGTATATGTGTATATGTATATGTGTCTCCATTTCTGTCGGTCTTTGAGATTAATGAGTAAATATTTTTTAAAAGCATGAAATACAGGGACAGTTCTGTAGCATAGCTGGTAAAGCAGCTACCTATTTTGCTGGCATCCCATACTGGTACTGTTCAAGTCCTGGTTGCTCCACCTCCCACCAACTCCCTATTATTGAACTTATGAAAGCAGCAGAATATGCCCCATGTACTTGGCCTCTGGATGCACATGCAAAACCTGGAAGAAGGTTCTAGCTCCCACTTCCTGACACCAGTCTGGCCCAGCCCTAGCTATGTGGTCATTTGAGGAATGAACCAGTGGATGAAAGATACCTATCTCTTGCGCTTGCTCTCTTTCTCCCTCTGTGTGTGTGTGTGCAACTGTCTTACAAATAAATAAAATAGCTCTTTGAAAAAGATATCTGTGTTGTCTCCAATCTCAAGCTGTACAATATACACAGGTTTAAGATAGCTAAAGGATGAAAGAATTCTAACTGGAGAGCATTTAAACAATTTTTAATAACATGTGATTACTGAGTAAAAAGGCAACAATAATTTCAGCATTTTAATAATGGTACATGATCCATTACCTAGGTCAGGCATTTTGGCAATTTGTGGCACTTTTGTATTAAAACAACTGGGGATCATGGAAGGCTTATAAGACATTTGTTTTCTGATGCCTGTGTTAATTTATAGCAAGCTTACTTCCTTAGTAGCTATTTGCAGAGGAGAGAAGACTTTAAGGTACATGGTAACACCAAAAGCACAGCAATTAGATGGCTAGGAAATCAGAATTAGCATAGTTTAGGAGACAAGAGCAACTTGCTTACCAGAAAATGAAGATGTTGCAAAGAAGTAAAATAGTCTTTATAGTATGACAAACTATTGTCAGTATCATCAATTCATCTGTAACTCTCAAAGGCTGGCAAAGTGATAAACTCCTCATGTTACTTAACTTTTTTACATCTGGGCATTTATTGTTGTAATTTGAGGTCGCCTAGTCTGTCAGGTACCTGTGAATAGTAGAAATGAGAAGACTTTAAAATGATGTTTGACCTAATTGAACTGGGCCAGTGTTGGGGCATAGGGTGTTAAGCTGCCACTGCCAGCAATGCTGGCATCTCATGTGAGCAGCTGTTGGACTGCTGGAATCTCCACGTTGGATCCAGCTTCCTGCTTTGGGGAGAGTCTGGCTCCCTGAACTACTTTCACACTTGATGTTAAGGCAGCAAGTCCAATGGTTGAGTGAGTGTAGGCTTGGAATTAGTCTTCAAGTTGGATCTGTTCATTCTAAGTTATATAAACTGGAACAGTTGATTTCCTCATTTATAAATAGGTTTAATAATCCTTGTGCCTTAGGTGTATTTATGGATTAAAAATATCATACGAAGTACCACACCTGAAACAGTGATTTTAAATGAAAAGTAACTGATGTGAAAGGAAAATGAGGATACTGCTGCTCGTGTGAACTTGAAATGGCTGCATAAAGCACAAGAAGCATTCCAAAACTGTCCTATACCAGTGGGATATTAAGCAGAAACACACTGCCTGCCACGTTTTTAAGATACATATGTACCTACCATAAAAAAAAGTTTATGTTCTTCAGGAATACCGATGTTACCAAAGATTCTATTATTAATCAAAACCCACATTACTTAGTGATAGGGAGTGAAAACTAAATTTTCATTAGCAGATGTTACTGCTGAACTAATAGTAATAAAAGCTATTAACATAAGTATTAAAAAGTCAAACCGTGATAAAAATGACTTCACTCACAACACATCTTGACAGTTCTTCCAAATTCTGTACATACAAAAAAGGTATTTTACCTCTCTCCATGTGAGCAGTTAGAACTTCAAAGAGACTTATACTGCAATAAAAAAAAGATAGTCTGACAGAGTCTACTTGTCCCGTTTACAACCTAACATTCCTCAGGTGGTGAAAATAAAAGTGGGCCAAAGTTGGCCAGCACACTTCGACTGGATTTATTTGCAGTAAACCAGTCCTGAACTGTGCATCTTGATTTTGATCATTTCTTTATGTAGCTCAATTTGAAGCAGGACTGTCTTAATGAAATGGCAGAGTTGCTTTAAATTAATGAGGCTCTATTGCTTGGGACCTCCAGCCAAAATGACTTAATATACCCGGCAAGTTTTTGGTCCAAGCTATTCTAATGTCCTGCTCACCTTAATTTGCTCTCCATATCTCGTAATGACAAACGGAATCCTCTATACCTCTTAGCATTTTAGGGATGACAGATGAGCAGGGAATGGGCTGTGCCAGAGGTTTGTATCATGAAACTTTTTGGAAGTGAACTGCTAAATACTATTCCTCAGGCCTGGAGTTCGGTTTGTCACAGGCAACTTAACATTTTCAAAGAAAAACCTTTTGTTGTCTGTTGTTTCTTCTTCTTTAACTTGTATGGCCAGTTTCATCCTCACAAAATCTTTTATCCATCCCTACTGATTGGACTGAGATCAGCAAGACGGGCTCCCGCTGAGACCCAGGCCGGTGCACACACAGCACACCTGTCTGCCCTTGAGGAAATAACACCGTGATTTCTCCCCGCTCCATCCCCGACCCCGAGGCAACACAGGTTCAGGGCTTTTTTTTTTTTTTTTTTTTTATTTTAACGAACACTTCCGCAGTGCTCACCCAGCTCCAGGGTGCTCAATGGTGTCCTTGTCAACACACTGAAAAATGAAAATGACGTCTGGGGGGCTTGGGCGGGGGGAGTCACACACGTTTGACATTCCCTAGCAGGGAATTTCTGAAACACTGAGGTAGGGCTGGGCTGGTGGCGCGCAGGCTGGGGAATTTCCCCAACCTCCCCCAGCTGCCTGCAGCAAGCAGACCTCGAGCGCCCGCGGCCGGGTTGGCGGGCTCCGGGATTTACCTCTTCAGCCGCTGGGAGGCCCTCTGCGCTCCCCTTTCCGCCGCGCCTGGCGGCGAGCTCTCCCTGGCGCAGTGGCACCAGCCTTCCACCAGGGAGCCTCGAGCAAGCGCTCCCGCCCTCCCCCCGCAACACCCCCCATCTGCAGCTTGCTGCCTCTCTCTTTCTCCCTCTCTGTCTCACTCTCTCTCTCTCTTTTTCCCTCTCCTATAGGAGCACAATGAAAGCCTGTGTATCGCCGTGACTGCGGGCGGGAGCCAGTGTCAGCAAAGCGGCTCACAACAGACAAGAAAGAGAAAGGAAAATACAAGCTACTTTTTTTTTTTTTTCCATCTCTAAAGCGGAGCAATACAAGAGATAGAACCACATTGCTTATTGCTGAGTCCAGACCCTCAGATCCACTGGCCGGGGATGGAATGTACAAAAGTGGACAGAAAAGTGGCTGGACATGACTCGGTGCAATTTGCTGGAAGTTTGTAAGTTTGACCATCGTTTGTAAATTACTCTCGGAAGAGTTTGTCTCTCTTGATACTGTGTTAGCATAGAGTCGGGGGTGAGGACTAGAAACCTAAGTGGGAAAGAAAAAAAAATGTGTCGGAGGCTCTCTTTCAGTGGCTAGCCACTTCAGATTGCTTTCCTTTAAGGCTAGGAAACCTTAGAGGGAATGAGGATTTTACCAGTGATTGGATTAGCTGGAGAAAAAAGCGTAGTTCAAAAGTCCAATTACTGACATTGTTAACAATTGAAAAGGCTGTCTCCCTCTTTTGGGAGAAGGCAACATCCTCCAGTACCCCCTCTCCCCAAAGAGGACAGAACGCCCGAGCCAAGGGAAGGGGAGGAAAGGCTGGAGGCAGAGAGCAAGCCTCCCTCGGTTCCTGCACATTCGGAACACTGACTTCAGAAACCTTCTAAAAGAGCTCTGTTTGATTTTGCCATTTTTATCCCCAAGAGAAGGAGAAGGCTGCCAGCTACATAGAGCAGGGCACAAATGGATTTCTCTGCGGAAACATCCCCATAAAGCATTTTCTGAAACAATTAGGTGAGGGGGAGCCCAGGTCACCCTCTGCTAATATCTCGCTCTGTTCCTTTTTCTGTGGGTTTCTGTCTCTGGTTTGACAATCCCGGAGTTCTTGCTCTAACTCTCAAGTCGTGTGTTTACAAAGTACCTAGTGGCTCTTGTCAGCTCTGGGGGGTGGAGGGTGGAGGGAAAGCCAACTCTTTCCAACTTCTCCACAACTGTCAGCCACAATTAGAATAAGTTGATCAGGGTTTGTCTCCAACTTATCCTCTGCAATTGGTTTCTATTCTTTCTCCCTAACCTCTGTGGACTAATTCCCTTCCCCCACATCTTCTCCACTGCTCCCCCCCACCACCACAGCAACCCCTGAAGACCTCTATTCATGTGGCCCTGAACATTGAGCTCACATTGTCAAAGACAGATTTGCCTGCCATAGGCAGCAGGACCCCCTTTCCTTCTCACCATCCTATAGGCAGCAAACATTGTGTACAGCAAGATGGGGGACACAGCGCCCCCGCAGGCCCCCGCAGGAGGGCTAGGGGGGGCCTCTGGGGCGGGGCTCCTTGGAGGGGGCTCAGTCACCCCGAGAGTGCACAGTGCTATCGTGGAGCGCCTCCGGGCTCGGATCGCCGTCTGCCGCCAGCACCACTTGAGCTGTGAAGGACGCTACGAACGTGGTAGAGCTGAAAGCTCAGATAGGGAAAGAGAGAGCACCTTGCAACTCCTGAGCCTGGTCCAGCATGGCCAGGGGGCCAGGAAGGCTGGCAAACACACCAAGGCCACGGCCACAGCTGCTACCACTGCAGCCCCTTTGCCGCCCCCTGCTGCCCCTACTACAGCTTCCCAAGCTGCAGCCACAGCAGCCCCGCCGCCCCCACCAGACTACCACCATCACCACCAACAGCACCTGCTCAACAGTAGCAATAATGGTGGCAGTGGTGGGATAAATGGAGAACAGCAGCCATCAGCTTCGGCCTCGGGGGACCAGAGGAACTCGGCCTTGATTGCGGTAAGGCACCTGGTTTTCTCATGATTCTGGCTGTGGTAGTGTGGTCTTTTGTGAAGGTAGGGGTTGCCTGGGCCTGCTGTGAAATGGACAGTGTTGACAGAGGCCAAGAAGTCACCTGACAACTTCAAAAGCCATTGGGTGTGTTGTTTGTGTGGTTTAAACTCTTACTCATCAAGTTCCGTTGGTCCTCATTCATGGGTTTCCCTCTGCTTGTGTAGGGTGTTCCTTACCTGATTTAAAAAAAAAAGAAAGAAAGAAAAAGAAAAAGGTCTTCCAAAGATTTTTCTGAAGGACACAGCTTGTTTAAGAGAGACTACAACTAGTCAGCTCTTGATTGAGGATCCCCCAGTTTTGGCTAGTTAGCTCTAATGAGGCCTAAGAAGCTACTCTTCAGCTTGAAAACATTTATCAGCTGAGCTGAACTTTGCTAAAGCCTTTTGCATCTTATTTTCCTGCTTTCGAAGTGATCCCCTCTCCTTGGGTTAAGAGAACCTAAACAACTCTCAGTAATACAGAGCAGATTGCCAGGGCATCCCTTCATTCAAAAATCAAAGTTGGAGAAAAGATCTCCAAGATAGATTAACGAAGAAACGTTTATTAAAAGACCTGCTTCCTGATGTCCTGTCAACTTCTCCACCAGCTCACTCCCACCTGGCATCTTTCGTAGGCATTGCAACCAAATTGTGCTTGGAATATCCTCCCAAAGGAGCCAGGCACACACGACTACTTACACAGAAGTCATCCTAAGAAGTATCTTGTCTTTTGCCACTCCTGGTGACAGTTCTGATATGGTTTCCCATAGGAGTTCTTCTTCAGAGACCCTAGTTCCTCCCACAAGGACTGTACCTAGCACCACTGATTCTTGGTGCCAGTATTGGGCAGGGGTCCACCTGCTATGGGATGATTTTCCCCCAAAACCTGCTGGGTCAGAAGTGTTTAGGAACAGGTGAAAGCCTTGTAGGCTTTCTCCCTTTCTGAGTTCCCTTAGGCTCCTAAAGTTGTGTCTGTTCCTAGCACAGCTCTTGCTCATCCAAGCCAGCCCTCTGAAAGTTGGCACCAGGAACAGGCTATGCCAGCTCAGAAGTACTCAAAAAGTCCTAAGGAGAGGATTAGTGCCATGTGAAATGCCTCCTCCAGATGAGCTTGACCACAAGCTCTGGGAAGAGAGTATCCTCCAGCCAGGCCCCTGGGGATCTGCTTCCTGGTTCTCTGTATTTCTGGCCTGGGTCCCTGGTGATACATTTTTTGGGAAGCTCTGGGGGGCCAAGAAGGTACTCTTCTCCCCTTTTCCCCACTTCCTCCCAATACATACATTTTGCTCAGGACATCTATAACTACAGCTCCCTGACACTAGCAACTTCAGCTGAAAAATAACTAACAGTTAAACTGCCCAGTGTGCACGAGTTTGGCCTTGAATACAATTAGCCTGTGGGGTTATATTAGAGCTTCGAGGTCTGATTTTCATTCTCTGCTACCTGCTTCATCTGTACCTCTCCCAGGAACTCCCTAGCACAGCAGTGGGAATTTATTCTGGGAAAAAAAGAAATACTGGGGTGACAGAGGAGAGCAAAGAATTGTTCAAATGGAGAGAAGAATGAGGTTTGTATGGAAGTGTGTGTCACTGGCATCTGCAGCCAAAGCGTCTAAATGCCTTGATTGTCCCCAGTAGATTTATAATCTGTCTGCAAGTCTCCCTATAATAAGGCTTTGTGTACTTTCCAGTCTCCTGGTGAGTGTTTCTGGGGATGATACTGAGAGCAAGACACCCAGCCCAACCCCGATTCAAGAACGCTGATCTGGGCTCTGGGTATCTGGACTGGAAGGCCCACGAAAGCACCTCTTCATGAGTTTTTCCCATTGCCATTACATCCAAACCTCTGTAGGGAAGGTGGCAGTTCTGCCTACGGTTTTTGTTATTCTACAATACAGAAGATGAGGCTTTGTCTTTTTCTTGGACATCTTGGGATGCAAAATGAAACAAACCTCAGTGGTTATTGTGATTCTACGGTAGCAATATACATACCAGGAGGGAAGTGAAAAAACAGTGTCTGGCTTTTCCCTGCTGAAAAAACTGAGCTGGCTGTTGTGCCACCCCTGTTCTCAGAGGGAATCTGTTTTCTCTCTTTTTAGCTCCTAACCAGCCAATGCCTGTAATATTCCCGTGGAGGCATTGCCTCTCTGAGTGATGATGTACGAGGAGGAGGGATAAGGACAAGTTATGCTTGATTGTTGCTTTTTGTTGAAAATGTGTGGTGTTTGCAAGGGTTGATCCACTACCCCACTTCTGGCTAATGGAAATTCCCTCTCTGGTTTAGCTTCTAATTTTGGAGCTTTGTTACTCAGCGTGATACTCAGCGATGCTGCTGCAAGAGCTGAATTAACCTGATAACACTGTGTGCAAAGGAGGCCTGGGCATGAGCCAGTGATTCACCAAGTCCTTTCCACTCACAGATCTCCCTTCACTCCTGCTCCTCTTATTTTCAGAAAAGCTATTAATTTAAAAGGGCTTTGGCTCAGAATGAGTGTCAGAATTCTTCCTTAATTTTATTGCTACCCTGTCCATAACCAGATTTATGTGGTCTGGGCATGTTGGATGTATCACTCTAATAGTTAATTCGTATGCTATAAGTGGCCATAAATGTCCTTTGGAGAAAGGGAGAGAATATTGATCATCTGAAATTGAATATGTGCTGTGTCCTCAGATAAAAACCCTGTCCTGCATTCCTTCTAATGCTGTGGCTTGTATAGAGTGGGTAGTATTTGCTGAATGAGGGTGAAAGGACAGCTTCTGTTTGACGGGATTGCGTTGACTTTGAGTGATGCTATACTTCAAAGAACATATAATGTCTGGATCCTTTCAGTAGCCTAAGTTTCAAGAACAATGCAAGAATAACCTCCAAGCTGGTTCTAAATCTGTCTACATTGAAAGCCTAATTCTGCAGGCCTTACTCAGCTAGTTTCTTCATTTAGCTCAAATGCAAGTTCAGGTGAAGCCCCACTGCTTCAGCGACTGCAGGAATATGGCCTTTCAGAGGATCTGAATTCTTAGGGCTTTGAGCAGATCTGCACTGTTAAGTAGTTGGTACGGGCTTTAGGCACTATACCGTTTTCTGGTGAAGTATCTTTGAATGAACTATGAAACACAATCAGTGTTGCCCATTAAAAAGTAAGATTTAGCACTTCCTTGGTATACTATATATCTTTCTCATTTGCCAGACAAGCTCTTTTACTGTTGTGTTGATTGAGATGCTAGGATGAGTAGATAAGTGGACCTAAGCCTTCAGAGATGGTCTTGTCTATAGTATGATAAAGGAAAGAAGATCAGCATCCCTTGGTTTCATGCTTGCTCAATCATGCGCCAACTTGGTAACTTGGTAAGCAGTCATCTATAAATGAGAAAGCCATAATGCTACCCTAGCTGGTTGAGACAAGTGATTGTGTTTCTGAATAGATTTCGTGTTTCTGAATAGATTGTAGAAATGCACAGCCTTATTATTGACATCACTGCTAATAAACTATGCAACAAAAAATGCTAATACTAACTTTTCCGGGGATTAAGAATAGACTCAGCCTTCGGTGCTCTGTTTTGAATGGTGAAAGAGCTTTTTATTGTAAACAGAGGGATTGGTGTTTCAAATTTAGTGCTGTCAAGATAAGACTGAGATATCAGTATATGTAAGCGTTCCTCAAAGTCCCAGGAAGTGTTGTTTAACATGTGCAATGCCGCGGAAGCCTTTGGAGGTTTCTGTGTGTGTGCTTTCCAGATCCCTGCACAGACCTGAGAAGCGCTGGCAAGGTGTGTCCCCCAGAATGTCTCAGGCACATTAGAAAGGTTGTTTACATAAATGGCATGGGAAAGTTAAATATTTTGTCAACAATAGTCCAAAATGTTAATTGTTAGCTTAAGAAAGTCAAACAAGTTAAATCATTGCCAGGGTTCCCTGGTTATTTTTAACTAATAATAATCAAGTTTCCAATTGACAGTTCGGAAATGGAGAGCTGTTAAGTGGGGAGCTACATGTGGTGTCTGAGCGACTGGGTAATGAGCACCCCCTATCCCCTGGAACAGCGTTAGAAATACATACATTATTTATATTTTCAGCCAAGGTTTTCTTAAAAAGCTGATCTATTTTTGTTGTGCTTTTCTGAACAAAGTAATGGAGGGAGATTTCTTATCTATCCAAGACCTTCCTACTGCTTCAAGTAAACGTAAAGGATCTCACAAATGAACAAGAGCTCACGTTCCAAGACAAGTTGGTACAGTACTTTGCAAAAACTTGAAAGAAAGCTTTCTTTGATAGCCAGATGCTGTTATCACATAAACCAAGGTGCCTTGTTAGTGGAGTCAATGTTTGGTTATAGAAAACATCTGCTTCTTTGAAATAATGTCATTATGAGGTGATTGTCAACTTTTTCTAAATCATAAACTTGAATACTTTATAGCGACCTATACCTGTAAGTGGTTTTAAATACTAAGATAAGAATCTTAGCATTTAAGGTGAACTTTCAAATTTCTTATTTAAACCAGTTATTTTTAATGATTATCTCATATTTGTATTTTTAGCAATAGTATTTAATCTCAAAAAGGTTAGAAGAAAAAAAACAAAAAGTCATCCCATACTGGTACAGTTGACAGCTAATGTTTCTGGGTGGATTCTGATATTTTCTTGTTTTTCATACTGCAACTTTATGTACATTCCTGTTTCTGGACAGAGCCATGTTAAACAAAAGCAATTCTGAACCCTTTCTTTGGCATTTCATGGTAGTTTCCCCCCACACTACAGCAAGCTCCATGAGAGAAATAGGAGAAACGTAAGGCATGGTCTCTGCTTACTTGCAGTTGGCTGTAGATATCAGCACCATGTCAGTGAAGCAACAACAGCCTAGGTACTAAGGAGAAGAAAAGACCACAACTGACACAGATAATCAAAGACAGAAACAAATACTTATTAAGCCCTTTATGTACAGGTCACATTACTGCACATTTTATATAACACCTG